CCGTTCGACCTCCTCCGTTCCAAAATTTTAATTAGCCGTTCATCCGTTTGACCTCATCCGTTCGAAAATTTTAATTAGCCATTCATCCGTTCACAGTATCCGTTTCGAATGGCTTTCCAAGCCGTTTGTCACCCGTTCGCTTGCCGTTCCGTTTACTGTTCGAACGGCTACCTTTAGGAACGTTTTCACGTAAGAGGTCACAAATTCTCCTCACTTATTTTTAAAACCATGAGAATTGGTCAGGCCAGGGCTCGAACCCTGGACCTCCCGCACAACACAATCCGGCGCTCTAACCAATTGAGTTAACCAGGAGGCAGTCTGATACAGAGTTCCAGCCATTGACTCCTATTTTCACACAAGGCTGGCTAGAGAGAAGGACTGAAGTACCCTCCCAGTTACAGGTCTATTTTCCCTTCAGAGATGAGTTGTCAATTCAGGATGGTATTGTCTTCAAGGGTGAGGGTATTGTGGTGCCGTCTAGTCTCAGACAATTGATGCATAATGGCTAAAGTACATGGCAGTCACCTGGGCATTCAAGGGTGCCTCAGGAGAGCCAAAGAAGCCTTCTACTGGCCAGGCATCTACAAGCAAATCACGGAATTCATCTCAAGCTGCAGCATTTGCAACAGCTACAAACCACAGCAGCAGAAAGAACCTCTGAAATGTCATGAAATACCTGCAAGACCATGGCAGAGCATCTCAGCCAACCTATTCGAGTTCAAGGGTACCCAGTACTTGATTACAACCAAATTTGTAGGAAAATCAATCATTTCACTCACATGTGTCAGTCAAGCAAAGAGAAAGTTCATGTTGACAAGGAGGTAGATGGGTTACTGGGAGTAGAGATGATCAGAGATGACATACTTGTGGTGGGCTATAAAGAGAATGATGAGGAAGCAAACCAAAATCATGATGGAAACTTACTTCATCTGCTAGACCAAGGTTTTAAAGCAAATCTACATCTAAACAGCAGCAAGATGAACCTCAGGAAGTCCGAAGTTAAATTCATGGGACACTTAATCACCAACAATGGGTTGAAGCTAGACCTAGGCAAAGTTAGAGCAGTAGAGGAGATGCTGAAGCCTCAATCAAAAAAGGAACTGTTGAGTCTCCTAAGATTTGTCAATTACTTGTCAAAGTTCCTGCCTAGGTTATCAGAAGTTACACAACCACTGAGGTACTTGACTGCAAAGGAAGCAAAATATAAAAAGGTCAGAACAACATGAGGTGGTATTCACAGGAGTAAGAAAATTTGTTGTCAAACACCTTGTGCTCAAGTATTATGATCTGGAGGAAGAAGTCACTGTGCAATGCTTCAAGATCCCTGTCACAGACTGAGAGACTATGCTCAGATTGAAAAGGAATGTTTAGCGATTGTCTTTTTGTGTGAAAGGTTTAGTTAGTACCTTGCTGGTCGGAAGAAGATAACAGTTGAATCACATCACAAGCCCTTGCAGAGCATTTTTCAGAAGTCCATTCACTCAGCTCCGTGTCGTTTACAGAGAATGACCTTGCAGTTACAATGCTTTAATGTAGAGGTCAAGTACAAACCTGGTGCACAGATGTATGTCAACGGTCATTTGTCTAGAGCCTCACTTACTGATAGTACATTGATGTCCGACAACTTTCAAGTATTTGCCGTAGAACTTGAAACACTCACCCCCTTTGATTCCATCAAAGAAGCTCCAGAAAGGCTAGCTCAATTGCAGAAGTCTACAGCACATGACTTCGTTCTTGAAACCTTAAAAACCACTGTCCTAACGGGATCACCAGAGAAAAGAGAGCAATGCCCAGTACAATTTCGTGATTACTGGAACTGTGGAGAAGAGATTTTGCTCCACAATGGAATTATGTTTAAGAGTCAGAGAGTGATAGTTCCTAAAGCTGTGAGGCCGGAGATGCTTTCAGGAATACACTCCAGCCATCTAGGAATTGCTTCATGGCTGAGAAAGGCTAAAGACATTATCTTCTGGCCTGGCATGAATTCAGAAATCAAAGCTGTAGTTGAGAGATGCTCAGCTTGTGCAGAGTTTCAAGCAAAAAATGCTAGTCAGCCTATGCAATCTCATAAAGTTCCTGACAGGCCCTGGAGCAAAGTTTCTACAGATCTGTTTACAGTAAACTGGAAGAATTAAAGAAAGGGAGATGTTACATACATGCTTTTCATGACTGTATTTAGAGGCTACCATCTGTGTACACTTACATGAAATGTTGATTAAAGAGGAGTTTTGTTGTTGATTAGCAAAAATGTGGATCTCAGTTGATGAGTGTCTTGCCAAAACAATAAAGTTCCTGGCCTAGCATTCATCACCTGAATGAAATCTCCAATTGAATGATGGAAGTTTTGAGCAACAAATGAAAACAAGAATTTCTTAAACAAAATTTGATGTTAAAATGTTTAACACTTGTTGAACGCAATTTTCTAATAGACAAAGTCCATAAAATGATTACCATAGCCATATAAATTTGAAAGTAACCTTACTTTGGATAAAAAATCTGCAACTCTGAAACAATTTGCTACCGCTGAATTGAATTACATGTAAGTCTTGCCTTGTTTTTTTGGCCTTGCTCCTTTTGGAAACACAATATACTGTCTCTATTCCATGCACATTTAGGCATTCACAAACTCAGACCCACTTTGGTCACAAAACAACTCACAAATGATACAATCACAGTCACTATAATAGTCATAAGCCACCATATCCATAACATAAAAGAGACACATTATTTCCATTACTGCAAGTGAACGTTTTTAAATAAACGTCAAGTATTTTATGTGCATTATCATTTAATAATGTCATAGTGGATTGCAAAATCTTTCATTTCTTTCAACCCCAAAATCATAATAAAAAGGGTTACATATTTTGCTTGGTTATGAAAACTGTGCATCTCCTTAGTGAGTTAACAACAGTACTCTGGGATATCTTTTGTAAAACAATGTTTCATGCTGCCCCTTTGGCAATGTCAATAACAGTACTGCAGAAGACACAGTGGCCAAACAAGTAGTACTCCCCATTTGAAGTTTTTGGCTCAGGTGTGTTAGAGCAGATAAAAACATCCCACAATGCAGAGAAAGGGAAAGAGTACATACCTCAGTTTTCAGGTTTGAAACTAACTGACCCTGCTCCTCACACTGCTGAAGCAACTGCCACTTAGCTGTCTTTTCACTATCTAGAATCTGCATCACATGAATATACTTCTTCTCCAATTCTTGTTTCTCTGATTGAATTTCAGCAAAACTACAAGCAGAAATAAATTCTTAATAATACTGATTTAAAGAATCTCATTTGTAATAGGGGGGACAGGGGGTCACAGCCTTCCACTTCCCATACCACATTATACCACAGTCCATAATTTTGCAGCCCTCTGCCTCCTGACACCCCCCCTCCCCACCCCCTATTCCACAGTGTTACTACTATCTTCAGGTTAATAAAACATCTAAAACCTAGGTTTTGATAAGCTCTGCTAAAATGTATCATTCTTAACCATTCTCTGGCAATGGAACATTATCACAGGTTTATCACAGGTTTATCACAGGTTGACAATTGGTTCTAACACGAAAAGCCAAAGAAAATGTTGAGAGTTCAGTAGTCCTTCCAATTCCTTACACTAATTTCATAATTGCAACCTCCACTCAATTCATTCAAATGCGACAAAAACATAGGCAACTTTTTGGTCAGAAGTTCATTCCAAACTAATGACCAACCCAGCACTTTTAAATGCACTCATGTTCAATGCAAAACTTGTCCTTTCATCCACAACACTGAGAAAATATCAGGACCAAACAATCCCTTAAGATCACTGATCACTTCATGTGCACCTCCACCAACGTCATCTATTGCATAACTTGCATTTATTGCAAAAAGTTATACATTGGCAAAACAGGAAGATGACACGGTGACCGATTCTAAGAACATCTTCAGGACATAGAAAGGAATGACAAGGATGCATCAAAACCAGTTGCTAGACACTGCAATCTACCTAACCATTCTAAACACCATATGGCAATCTACGGTCTTTCCTTGCATTTAGGTAGCTCGGAAAGCCACAAAACCTGGAACAAAAGTTTATCTTTCAAATTGGCACTCTTAACACCATGGGTATCAATGAATGCTTTTCATTCTACTAATTTATGGGTGTTTTTCTCATCACCATGTTCCCACCAATAGCATAGCTCCACTTTCTGCATAAAACCTACACAACCCACAATTCCTCCATTTACTCTAATGAAGGGCTAATGCCCGAAACGTCAGCTTTTTACTCTTTATGGTGGCCAATTTACAATTCCAACTCAGTTGATAATACCAAATAACCTTGTTACCCTTCCGACGCAGCACCACAGTTTCCTTAGAAACTTATCCCCTTTATTCATTTAACTACGAAGTCAGTTTAGTAGGTTTAAGATGTAAAGTTAAGAAGAAGCTACTTTTTGTAGTTGTTCAACTTGCCTAGATTTTGTGATGGCTTCAATCCATGCAGTGCACTCTTGGCCACTATTTACTCTGAGAACAAACTGCTGCTGCCCATCAACAGTTGGTATACTGATACAAAAGCAGTTCTAAATTGGAAGGAAACAGACGACTTAAACTGACCATTATAGACCAGCTACTAGTGAATTTTTTCCTCTTATCTCTCCATAATACCCTTAGTTATTCAGCACAAACCATTCTTCAGATTGCAGTTCTTTGAAGAGATATGAAAGAAACTACTCTCCTAAAGTGAATCTATTTGCATACCTTACTTTCAAAATCAATAATAAGTCAGTAAGCCACTTGCTACTGTGGGGAGGAAGGACATTTTTAAAATGTTACCTGTTTTCATTTTCCAAAGGGTAAAACAATTTTATTAAGGAAAAATTATTATTTTAGCATACGCAACAAATTACAATAAATTATACAAAATAAAATAAAATAAATTAATGTCCAGGATTGTTTAAAAATTATACAGAAATTCAGAAAATATAGCTGTCAAGAGTTGTTCGTATGAAGGAGTGTTTGCATAGTTTTTACTCTAATATTTGTACCCAATTAACTGCCTATTTTCATGTTTTTTTTTTTTCAATTTGTAGATAGAACATGCTTCAGGGGTTGTTCTTGATGGGGAGGGTGGCAGTTGTAAAGAAGTCAACCTGAGTCTGAACTTATCCCGCTGTAGCCTGGTGGCCTTTATTTAGAAATATAACTGTGTCAGGTCAAGACTTGATGCAAATGATAGCAAATTACACAGAATTTGGTATCCTACGTTTAACTTGGTCATTACCTGACCATTTATTGCAGGCCATTTTCATTTGGTAGATAGCTTTTACAGTTGTTATCGATGTGGTGATGTAACCATTTGCCGAAGTCAATATACAGATTTATAAATGTTAACCTGCATGGCCATTTTTAAAGGAGACAGCTATCACCAGTGGTTCAATGGCACCAAGGCAATACTAGATGCAAGTGATTTCCAAGTATAAAGCTTGCCATACAATAAAAAAAAGCAAGATTACCAAATTGAAAATTATACTCTCTGCTCTGCTCTCTGTTTTTAACTTATTATTCCAGTTGAATTTTATATAATACTTTTCTTTTTTTGGTGTTCAGACTTATTGCGTATTGCGCTATAATAACTGGTTATAAAATTGAAACTTATTATGTACTTAGTGGAGCTAAAAATATTGCTTATGTCAATCAACTCATAGACCGTTTTTCTTTTAGATAGAACTTTTACAGTAAACATCTTATTCAAATTTCTGGACCGCAATATAAACCAACCACTAAATGTATTCAACCTCAAATGCTTCCTGGGTAAAATAAAAAGCATTTTTTGTTCATTTTATGTATGAATAATAAATAATCGATTGCAATTATCTCTGTTCTTGTTTTCAAGCCATTTGCAAATGTCAACAAAAATTGTCAAACCAAACTTATCAGAAAACGGTTCAATGAAAAAAACAAAACAAAACAAGAAAACTACGTTCAGCGAAAAAAAAAATAAAATGCACCTTACTTATTCGATGGAAATTAAGGACAAAAAAATTGGCGAGACAAAAGATAAATATATTCATGGAAGGGATGTTTTTTAATTGATTTTGGGTGCTCCTCTGTACTTTGTTGACAAATTTAGCGAGAAGCTAAAAGTGCACATCATATCGCATGCATCGATCGCCCACACAATACTTGACTTTTGTGTTTCCTGCAACATTAAAAGCGGGTTTGAAGGGAAAATCTTTTGAAAGCAAACGAAATTTGTCGACGACTGCCTTTCTTTGGAGAAAAGGCCTAGGTCTAAGCTGATCAAGAGCTTACTTTATGGCAAGGTGACAATTAAACCACTTGGTTGAAAGGCTCTCTTTCCTAAAGACACCAACATAGGCTTAGACATAACTTCTCATGTTTTTTTATTTAGAAGACCGAAATTTGAGAAATAGGTTTCAGTCATAACCACACGCGAGGAAAAAACCGATGGGGAGAAAAATAACATTGACCACGTATCCCAAAGGGGAGAAACATTTATACACAATACAACTACACGAAGGAGGTCAAGCAGAACACAAAAATCTCAAAACATTCGACCGTCATACCTGGTTCTCGGTGTCCTTTAGGTTGGTCAAGCATAATCTCTCACAACTGCAGTGCTCCAAGTATAAAACTCCACAAAGTTTTGTAGAATCCTCACTCTCGAAATAAAACAACAAATTTTGGTACAGAGCAAACCAACGCTGAAGCCATTTACCAGCGTTTTCGTGGTTTTTCATATACACACGACCGCTTATTGAGTGGTCAAGTCGTGCTAGTGAAGCCAAATAGTTGAGCTGCTCTTCTCCGATCCTTACAGAAGCGGGCATAGTGACCTTACTGAATTAAGCGCACAAAAGATTCATAGCTGACTAGGCTTAAAATGTGTTTGCCAAAAGAACTCAGTCTCCCCGTGATTCTGAATTCTGAAGCACGATCAAAGGTAGTGTTCTTTGGACGACCGGCACAAGTCCAGAATGATAAAAATCAATCCTTCCGCAGACAGAAAAGATTCCTTTGTCACAAATAACGTCAACTTGAAGCCATTTTAAGTCGTTTGTTGTCGAAAAATCATAAAACGCAATATTTTCAGCATAACACCGTTCGCGCGCATAACTAATATTATTACTAAGGGTATGGAGGGTAGGAAAGGATTTCTCATTCTAGTCTTTGGATCTGGTCAGCGGTGGACTGTTGCGAAGAGATTGCCTTCTTGCCCGTTGAATTTCCGTCTGTCTAGAAGGCTAAAATTGCACAGCTTTAACCATGATTTCTTTCTTGGTGACGTTTGCAAGCTTTTTATTTGATTTTGGTTTATCATTGCGGTTCAGAAAGGCAGAAACCATATCCAGGATGACTTGAGGCATGACTTCGTAAACTATTAAGTTAAGTAGATTTGTCGTGGTGAGACAGTTTTCTCGTGGGCTGCAGCGGCAAGTACGCTGTATAAATTCAGATTAACAAGGAACCAATTGGTTACAATAGGAATGAATAATGAACATTGGCCAACTGTTAACATCAAGCACAGATAACAGAGAAGACAATGAGTTCTCATATTCTCGAATGCACCATCTGTTGACTTCCATGGCCAGGCCACCGGAGTCTGTAAATAATGGCGCAATTAATTCTTACAGCTTCACTAATTCAAAGTTTGAGGTGAGTATCTCTTTTTCTACAGCCCCAGCCCAGGGAACCTTGAAAATAAATGTTATTTTGAGTTCATTTGAAACCTCCCAATTACGTATCCACATTTCCATAAGGAAAAAAAAAAAAAAGAAAAGAAAAAAAAAAAGAACTTGTAGACACTATTAGTTTGTGCAACGGTCGTAAAAGTAGAAGTTTTAGCAGAAGTTTTGATATTACCGCAAACATAATTTAAGTGTCAGCGGGGAATTTTAGCTGTACATAAGACAACTTTCACTCCCAGGGCGTTTATTCCCCCTCGTCCATCACATTCCTCGATTCTCTGTAAAAGGATTGCAAAAGGTGCACTCCTTGATTTACCTTATGTTTTGTTCTTTTGAAGTGGGGGAATCCAGGCAAAAGTAAAAACCGGGTTGTTGACCTAAAGAGAGCGGTTTTCAACATGGTTAAACCACCAACCAATGAAACGGAAGTTTTTGTTGATAGCGTGGTGCTCTCAATAAAGTATTCCTTTAATTGCAAAATGTCAAAGTCTTAAGTAACAAGCTAGATATGCTAATTTACTGCACATTGCAAATGCACATGCACTAAGCTATGTATGCTAATTTGTTGTGAGTTACATGTGACCATGCAACATTTCGAACCCCTCACAGTAGATCGGTACAAATTAGTAAAAGATGTAGAATTATGCGGTCACATCTCAAATATTAATGGGAAAGTAAAGTCCAAACAATTAGTGGCCGGAATTGATCTACCAGCAGTATCATCAAAATTGTTTTTGACCATTGGCAGAAACATTTTCTTGTGTCTGAGTGGCAAAATTTGTTTCCGCAACATATATATCTAGCATGGCTTAATGAAAAAAAAATTGTCTCAACAAGGTTTCTTAGTTTACCCCAGCCCTTATAATCACCTCACACAGGATGACAGTGATGAAGTAAACAAGTCATTCCTAATGAAGTCAAGTCATTCCTTAATAAAGCAAAATCTTTTTGCAATGCAATAAATCCTTTATTTACTAAACTTGCTCAGGCAAGATGGCTGGATATTAGCCTCGTCCTTTTTCGCATTTTTATGGACCTTGACTTCGTCTTGGTCCATAAAAATGCAAAAATAGAACTTGGCCAATATCCAGCCATCTTGACCTCATGCTTGGTTAATAACTCATTTATATAATGTAACTGGTGACTAATCAGAGTATGTATATCTGTAAATGGGTGGGTCAATTTGAAGCTTGAACATCCTCCCTCCTCTTCTGGCAACCCCAGGCATTTGAACTTTTGTAGATTAGTTTCTTAAATTCCTGCACCTAAGGGCAAAATTTGGTTCAAATGCCCCACTAAAGCACATATTTTTTATTGAATGATACATTGTGTGACAATGAATGTTGAAAAATTTATCACAGTCATGTATTAGTTTTAAGTGCTGCTATTGGATTTGTACACTGATAAGCATTAATCTATGATCTGAAAATTTTTTTCTAAGCCATTTGCTCATGAAAGTGGACTTTTACCTTTAAATTCCTCAGTTTTAAAATTAAAACATGTGTATTCTGCTTGTTCAAATTCCCACCCTCACCTGGGCAAGGTTTATGTTCTCCACCTTTAGAACACAGACAACAGTCAGAAGCCCGTAAAAATTAACCACTGCCAAGTTAGCCCAATGGATAGTGCACTGGACTGTTGTATAGGAGGTCGAGGGTTTGAGCCCCGGCCGGACCAACACTCAAGGTCTTAAAAGAATTGTGAAGAATTTGCTACCTTTCTATAACATCAAAAAATGGTTAGATATTCTAGTCCTCTCAGATAGGGATGGATAAATGGAGGTCCCATCTCCTGCAGGATTGGGGTATGAGATGTTAATTTCCCACACATGAGATTACTGTGTGATGGATGTCCTCCCCTGGGGTGGGATGGGTGGGAAGGTGAGATCGATGGACTGAAGTGGCTGCCAGAGGCACCTGATATGCTGACGTCTGTTCTCAACTTTACACTGCACCTGCAATTCAGCCTTCAGGCTGCAAGTGGTCAGATATAAACTGTATTATAAATTATATTATATTATTATAGCCCATTGCATTGCAATGCAACAGCAGAGTAGGTACTGATCTTTTCTCTGATTTACTTTGCAGGGCTCATTTTTCCCTTCATATAGTAATATAACTATGGAAATCGGAAATTTACAGAAGGCTCTCAATTTTTCTGTAGACACACTACCTAAGACCAGCACTCTGACTTCAGCTATCTGGAATAACGAAGGTAGAACTTGTCAGGTACTCACAGACAGTGGGTACTTATCAAAGGCTGATAGTCAAGGAACTGAAGATCCTACACAAAGTACCTCATCCTCTAGCAATAAAATTAATGGAGCTCAAGGTCCAGCTACCTTGGGTTTGGAGAACTTTTATGAATTAAAAATTAACCCAAAGACTAACCAGTTTGACTCTAGGAGAAATTGCCTAAATTCCACCACACTGTATGAAAAAAGCCTGAAGACCACATTGGATGAGAGTGAAACAAAGAGAATTTTGTTATTGGAAAAGCTCAGGGAAGCTCACCTTACCATTCAGGTAAACACCATCTCATTACTCTGGCTAACTACATTTATTTTGTATAGGAAAGTTACCAGGTAGCTAGTGGCTACATATACCATTTCTATGCATGGACATTTTTAGCAGGGCTCCCATGCGTGATTTGTGCATATGGGTCAGAGCCCCATACCCATGGAATATGGTGAACCTCTTTTCGTTTGGTTGTCACGTGACTGACTAAGCATACGTATGTATGTGCCTTCAGATTGCATGGATAGGGTAGGGAAGACTATCAAAACGAAGGGAGGGGTGTCTCAGGCGAGTCTTGGCAAATGCACATCTTTTATGTTATCATTAGGTTGTTTCTACAGGATGCCTAGGTGTTCAGATAGATAATGCTCTTAAATGGGATCATCATTTATTGGAATTAGCGAAGTCATATACACAGAAGTTGAATTTACTTAAATCCTTGTATTTCCTGCCTAAACAGAAAAGAACTGATTTCTATTTTAAGGTTATTCTGCCATCTGTGACATGATATGTTACACTTAGGTAGCATGGAAAGCTGTAAAAATCTTGAACAAAAGCTCATCTTTCAAACCGGCAGTCTAAATCCCACAGGGATCAACGAACGCTTTTCATTCCACTAATTTATTCTTGTTTTTCTCGTTGCCATGTTCCCACCAATAACGTAGCTCCATTTTCTGCCTTTAAAAGCACACACAACCCACAATTCCTCTATTCGCTCCGACGAAGGGCTAACGCTCGAAACGTCAGCTTTTGTAATCGTTACGGTGGCCAATTTACCATTTCAACTTTGTTGATATATCCAAATTATTTCGTTACTCCCACCGACGCAGCCCCAAACAGTTTCTTTCGAAACTATCAGCCTTTATTCATTTTT